TCCACCTGCCATTTTGCCCTTGTCAAGAGAGAGAGCAAGAGAGAGAGAGAGAGAGAGCAAGAGAGAGAGAGAGAGCAAGAATAGTCCTAGTTTGAGTGGGTGTGGTGGAGGGGGGGGGGGAGTGTTTTGGGAGAGTGGGAGTGGTGGGGGCAGAGGGAAGAGTGTGATGGGAGAGTGAGATGGGGGGGTTAAGAGGTGGGTGAGGTGTAGTCTTCAGATTACGGCGGGGGGGGGGGGGGGGGGAGGATTAGCGGCTTATCTGGGTTCCCAGTGAGCTCACAGTTGCTGTCCCTGTTACCTGTCTACCACGAATGTATTATTACGATTGTATTATTGAATGGAATGCAATAGTGTCTATGATATGATATTATATAAACCTTGTACACTGTTGGAGACTTATGAGAGACACTTACCAGCCAGCCCCCCACAAGCACTCTAGGTGAATACACGGCGTGTCGTCGATAATCCTGTGAGGTCTTCAGGTCTCCACTTGGGTCCCAGCTGATGTGACTGATGCTACCTCAAGAAGTCGATCTTCACTAGCTATCTTTTCTAAATTCACTAAGATAATTCACCACGAGATGTGATCAATGTGTTGCATAACAATGCCACTGTTCAATTTACAATGTCCCGACTCTCACTGCACAGTACACCCGCTCCTTTGAACCCTACTGTTCCCTCAGTTACCGCGGACCGCTGACCCTACACGTCTGCTCACGATCAAAGCTGACCCAAGACTTGTGTGTGTGTGTGTGTGTGTGTGTGTGTGTGTGTGTGTGTGTGTGTGTGTGTGTGTGTGTGTGTGTGTCTGTGTGTCTGTGTGTGTGAATATAAATCACGAAAATTAAAACGTGATGAAAAATGTGACAGTGTCAGACCACGGAGGAAGAATTGAAACAGGAATTTCATTCAACTTAAGAAGGAATGATTTACAAGTCAAGTATCGGATATATATATATATATATATATATATATATATATATATATATATATATATATATATATATATATATATATATATATATATATATATAATATATATATATAGGCTTATAGCATGGACACGAGTTCTCTCACATTGACAGTGGCTTGATGAAAAACGCAGAGTAACCTCACACTTGTCTAGTGCCCTCGGGAAGTGGAGATATTTGAGGTGTATATATATCTCGAAGTCTCTACTTCGTTTGTAGGGTCTGATGGTGTAGTGGGTTAAAGCGTACTAGTTATGGCAGCTACTGGAAGGTAGTTGTGCTTTCTGGGTTCGAGGCCCACTGGTGGGTGTTGTCCAAAGATTGTTAATCTTCACTTGTGGTTTATGCAAGTATAGGCTTATATATATATATATATATAATGTATATATATATATATATATATATATATATGTATATATATATGTATATATATATATATATATATATATATATATATATATATATATATATATATATATATATATATATATATATATATATATATATATATATATGTCGTACCTAGTAGCCAGAACGCACTTATCAGCCTACAATGCAAGGCCCGATTTGCCTAATAAGCCAAGTTTTCATGAATTAATATGTTTTCTCTAGTTTTTTTCTTACGAAATGATAAAGCTACCCATTTCATTATGTATGAGGTCAATTTTTTTTTAATGGAGTTAAAATTAACGTAGATATATGACCGAACCTAACCAACCCTACCTAACCTAACCTAACCTAACCTATCTTCATAGGTTAGGTTCGGTTAGGTAGCAGAAAAAGTTAGGTTAGGTTAGGTTAGGTAGGTTAGGTAGTCGAAAAAACATTAATTCATGAAAACTTGGCTTATTAGGCAAATCGGGCCTTGAATAGTAGGCTGATAAGTACGTTCTGGCTATTAGGTACGACATATATATATATATATATATATATATATATATATATATATATATATATATATATATATATATATATATATATATATATATATATATATATATATATATGACAATGTCAGACCACGGAGGAAAAATGAAACAGGAATTTCCTTAAGTACTTTCGTATATTAAATACATCTTCAGAAGGTTGACCTTCTGTGCATTAATTGGCTGCCAATTAATGCAAAACTTTATTCTACCCACCTCAAGACTCCGCTCCAATATAGAAGCATCAAGAAATATGGACCAATAGGCTTTCTACAAACACTTCTATTCAATACCCATTGTTTCGTGTTCTGTCTTGTGTTGATAAAATTAATACCCTATTAATGCCACCTCTTGTTCTGTCTTGTGTTGATGAAATTAATACCCTATTAATGCCACCTCACCCCATCCACCTCACTCAAATGTAGATATAAAATCGGAGATGCGTAAGTTGTATTCAGTTGTGTATTTGTAAACTAAAGTCTTTGAAAATGTAATGAGTTTCACGAAACGCGCTCGTGTCGCGTCAGACTAGAAATAAAAATGAATTTTGGAGAATTGATTTTTGATTTACCTCCAACAGTGAAAAGAAATGTACGAAAGATTGAGAAAATTCGTGTTAGAATTATTAATCTTACTTTTTCGGTCATATTTAATAATATATGTCTACAGGAAAGACTGCTACCAAAATATACTAATATATATATATATCACAAACTTGCCTATATAGTTCGCAAGCTGAAGTTTATAACTTTTTAACACTCAACCCACCAAGAGACTCGAACCCTGGCCTACAGAGTGGCAGGTACACACTGTATCCACTGCATCATACTTCAAAGCCATAAAGAGAGGTAGGAATTCCGGGGTATGGATACAGTGTGTACCTGCCTATGTGTAATAAAACCAAATTTAACTAGGGCCAACAGAAGGGAGGTGTTTGGTGCTCTGATTATTCCTGCCTTTTCTTTTGGATGAGCGCCTCTGTAAGTGATTTTGATGCACTGATTTGCTGAGTTCGTCTCACTTGTTCTTGTGCTGCTCTCTGGACTCCTTAAGACATCTTTCATTTTCTTGTCGTATTTTTATGACTTCCTCTTTATCTTATGATATGTCATGGCATGTCATAAGATAACACAGGACTTGATAATTGTCCAGGACGGACTGCTACATAGTCGTTTACATGTTCTGATGTGTAGAGTGGTCATCGTGTCATGACAAAGGATAATAGCAAGCCTTATGGTAAGGCCTGATATTCCCTAATTTCATATTTGACTCCTGTATATATCTCATTAGAATTATATTCTGAAAGATAACTTTCACTGGTTGACTTTCCAGTTTGGAAATAAATTACCATGGATATTAAATTCCCAGGACTAGCTCAAGTTTTGGTCGTCCTTCTCTTGCCCTCTATCAGGTGTCTCCCTTTGGCCCTGGAAGTTTATAAATTATCACTAATTTCTTACTGACCAACTCCTGCCAAGTACTATTATAAACCTCTGGGTTCTTACAACATCTATCACAGTTAATATACTGATCTGATTTCCCTCTGCTCCTTCAACTACTTCAGCGTGTTTTTTGGGGGTCTTTTTTTCTTTCTCTCCCATTGCCCTTTTTACTTCCACTACTGGCTTGCTCTTCTCTTCCATTGTTTTATTCTGTTATGTAGGTCAAATACTTGTCTTCACTTTGAAGGATTATTTCCCCTGAATTCCTCTACTTCTTTCAATGCAGGAGATCATCACTCCTCTCAATGTTTGCTTTGAAGTCCTCAATAACATCCTTCAGTCACTGTGGCGTCTCTCTCCCTCTCACAGAAGTTCTGCACTTGCCTTCTTAGTGAAACCATTCACACAGATAGTTCATGAAGGACACTCCAGCAACTCTCTTCTAGTGAGACATTCTACAGGTGTGTGTTGAGTGGACCAGGTGGAGGGCCAGTCTGTCTCAAGCCTTGGCACGAACCGCACGTCTCCCTCTCACTCCGTAACCGACCTGCAACTCGCCAGTCACGTTTCAGGTAACAACACTAACCAGCCAACCACTTTAAGGGTAACAAGACTAACTAGCCAATCACTTTAAAGATAAAAAGACTAACTAACCAATCATTTTAAAGTTAACAAACCCAGCCAGCCAATCAGTCACAATACAGAGGACAATATTTGCAAACTCAATCGTATTGCAGCGAACATGATTAGCTAGCCACTCACATTACAGGTACGAAGCCAATCACAATGTAGATAACAAGACCAACCAGGCAATAATATTACAGGAAAGGTATCAAGACCACCTAGATAGTCACATTACAGAGAAGAAGACAAATCAGATTACTGCACAAAAAGCCATCCATACAATCACCTCAAGAACTCGGACCAACCAGTCAAATCTGTTATAAGCAAGACCATTCAAGCAGTCACCTTGGTAAAAAGGATGGCCAACCATTCACTTTAAAAGGAACAAGATCATCAAGCTAGAAATTATAGTAACCTGTGCAACTAGTATAGTGTCTAAAGCATTGATGGAAACAATAACTGCTCCTGTCTTCTCACTTCTGGGTCCTCGTGCTCCCAGGTGGGTACCTGACATGTTGTGAACGTCTTTTATCAAGTGTGTCCAGATCGGAGAGGCTTAGGAAGGCCCTCATCAAAGGCTCTCTGGTGTAGGGCTATTATGATCTTCCTTTTTTTCGGACTTGTTTCCTTGTCATATAGGTATTAGAATTTATTTATAAACCTCTACGTTTAGAACGTGGACCATGTATCAAGATGTTTAGGGTAAGTGTGTCGTCAAGCGAGATTTTATGTTGACCAAACTACACATTAGAAGATGAGAAGATGACGACGACTAGATTATATGATTCTTGAATCTTGAAATGATTTCGGGGATTTTAGTTGTCCCCGCGGCCCGGTCCTCGACCAGGCCTCCACCCCAGGAAGCAGCCCGTGACAGCTGACTAACACCCAGGTACCTATTTTACTGCTAGGTAACAGGAGCATAGGGTGAAAGAAACTCTGCCCATTGTTTCTCGCCGGCGCCTGGGATCGAACCCAGGACCACAGGATCACAAGTCCCGCGTGCTGTCCGCTCGGCCGACCGGCTCCCCCACAGTTGTTCACCATGGCTCGCACCAAGCAGACTGCTCGCAAGTCCACGGGAGGCAAGGCTCCTCGTAAGCAGCTGGCCACCAAGGCAGCACGCAAGTCTGCTCCTGCCACAGGGGGCGTGAAGAAGCCTCACCGTTACAGGCCCGGAACGGTCGCCCTGCGTGAGATCCGTCGTTACCAGAAGAGCACCGAGTTGCTCATCAGGAAACTTCCCTTCCAGCGTCTGGTGCGCGAAATTGCCCAGGACTTCAAGACCGATCTTCGCTTCCAGTGTATATGATGTGTATATAAGGTAAATAGATCATGACCTGATTGATCAAGGACGTGTCTTGTGGGCGATTGATCAAGAACGGTATCGTGGTTTGATACATCAAAGACATGTATCATGGGCTCAAAGATCAAGGACGTGTATCATTGTCTCACTGATCAAGGACAAGTATCATGGGCTAATAGATCAAGGACGTGTATCATGGGCTCATTGGTCAAGGACGTGTATCATGGGCTCAATCATCAAGGACGTGTATCATGAGCTCATTGATCAAAAACGTGTATCATGGGCTCATTGATCAAGAACGTGTATCATGGGCTCATTAATCAAGAACGTGTATCATGAGCTCACTGATCAAGAATGTGTATCATGGGCTCATAGATCAAGGACGAGTATCATGGTCTCATAGATCAAGGACGAGTATCATGCTCTCATAGATCATGGACGAGTATCACGAGCTCACTGATCAAGAACGAGTATCATGGGCTCATAGATCAAGGACGGGTATCATGGTCTCATAGATCAAGGACGAGTATCATGGTCTCATAGATCAAGGACGAGTATCATGGGCTCATAGATCATGGACGAGTATCACGAGCTCACAGATCAAGAACGAGTATCATGGGCTCATAGATCAAGGACGGGTATCATGGTCTCATAGATCAAGGACGAGTATCATGGTCTCATAGATCAAGGACGAGTATCATGGGCTCATAGATCAAGGACGAGTATCATGGGCTCATAGATCAAGGACGAGTATCATGGGCTCATAGATCAAGGACGGGTATCATGAGCTCATAGATCAAGGACGAGTATCATGGGCTCATAGATCAAGGACGAGTATCATGGACTGATAGCTTAATCCAATGAATCATCGATTTATAACCTAAGAACATGTGTCATGGGGTGACATGTACATTCATATACATATTTAAGTGTCAGAGTAGTGACCAATGGAATGCATTAGGCAGTGATGTGCTGGAGGCAGACTCCATACACAGTTTCAAGTGTAGGTAGAATAGAGCGCAATAGGCTCAAGAACCTGTACACAAATTGATTGACTGTTGAGTGGCGGGACCAAAGAGCCAAAGCTCAACTCCCGCAAGCATAACTAAGTGAGTACATATGCACATCATATATCTATATATTTCAAAAACATTTTTTACACATAAAAATTCATCATACTTATACTCGTTGTTGTTGTTGTTAAAGATTTAGCTATTCAGGACGGAGTGTCCATGTAGCACGGGCTATGGTGAGCCCGTAAACTTATACTCGTTTTGGGTGAGGTGATATGGCACAAAACTTTTGGGTGAGGTGACAAAGCTAAGACAGAACACTAAACAATGGGTTTGAAAACATAAGAATGGAAGTAACTGCAGAAGGTCTATTGGTCCATACCTACTCTTGCTGCCTCTATGTTGGTTCGGGGTCTTAAAGTGAGTAGAATATAGTTATGCATTAATTGGCTGTTAATTGCTGATGTTGACATTTTGATGTGTAGTTCCTCGCTGATGTCGAGTCTCCTGCTATCGCTGTATTTATCAATGATTTCTGTGTTGCTTGTTAAGATTTATCTGGTGATGGTCTGGTGAGAAGAGATTATATGTGCCTTCATAGAGCCCTGTTATTTGTGCATGGTTAATCGCCCAGAAAGAGACGTTGTTGTCTTGCCTTTATTCTGAGTTCTTTGGGGCTTACAGTCCCCAAACGAGCATTTGAAGGCATAGACGACGTTGGTTTCCTTAAGGACGTTCTGTTTGGTGTCTGGGGAGTTTTTCATGAGCAGGTTGGCCGTTTTTTTGTTTTTGTAGTAAATTGTCAATTGTATTTTCTGATTTTTGTCTGTAGGGATAACGTTCCAATCAATAATATTTTTCAGGACCCTTTCCTCCGTTTTATGAGCCGTCGAAAAGAAGTTGCTGTAAAATAGTCTACTAGTGGGTACAAGTGTTGTGTTAGTAGACTACTCAGAGGTTGCATAGCGTTTCACCTTTCTTTTTATAATGTCTTCAACAAAACTGTTAGAGAAGCCATTGTTGACTTGCCATACTCTTCAGAGTTCTTCATCTACTGTCATCCTGCGCTATAGCTGAGAGCCTGGTTGACATAAGCGTTGACAACACTCCTCTTGTACCTGTCTGGGCAGTCACTATTGACATTGAGGCACATTCCTGTTTGTTTCCTTAGTGTAGACTGCAATGTGGACGCCTCTATTCCTATCTGTGACTGTTACATTTAGAAATGGCAGCTTTCCATGCGTCTCCATATCGTAAGTGAAACTCAACACATAATTCTACTCTAATGCCTCCTTCAGCTGCTGCAGACGTCTGGCATCAGGTACCTGCATAAAATTATCGTTAACATACCTCGAGTATATGGCGGGTTTCAGGTCCATGTCCGCTAAGACCCTCTGCTCGATGGTACCCATGCAGAAGTTCGCAAACAGGACACCTAGGGGAGAACCCATAGCGACCCCATCTACTTGCTTATACATGTGCCCATCTGGGCTCAAGAAGAGTGCCTCTTTAGTGCAGGCTTGGTGTAGTTTCCTTAGTATGTTTTCTGGTATGTCAAGAGGAGTACAAGCTGGAACACGATACACTCTATCCGCTATCAACCCGATTGTTTATCCGCAGGAACGTTGGTAAACAGTGACTCAACATCCAACGAGGCTCTTATCCTCGTGGCCCGTGCTCCCAGCAGTAAGTCAACGAATTCCTTGGGAGACTTCAGGCTGAAAGCACAAGGTACATAAGGAGTCAGCAAGCAGTTGAGTTGTTTAGCCAGTCTGTATGTGGGTGTGGGTTTCTGGCTGATGATTGGCCGAAGTGGGTTTCCAGGCTTTAAACACAGAATTCCGCTCAAATGCCTCCTTCAGCTCCTGCAGACATCTGGCATCAGGTAACTGCGTAAAAATGTCGTCAGCATACTTGCTGTATATGGCGGGGTTCAAGCCCATGTCAACTAAGACCCTCTGCTCGATGGTGCCCATGTAGAAGTTCGCAAACAGGACACATAAGGGAGAACCCATGGCGAACCCATCTACCTGTTTATACATGTGTCCTTCGGGGCTCAAGAAGGGTGCCTCTTTAGTGCAGGCTTGGAGTAGTTTCCTCAGTGTGTTTTCTGGCATGTCAAGAGGAGTGCAAGCTGGGTCACGATACACACTGTCTGCTATCATCCCGATTGTTTTGTCCACCGGCACGTCGGTAAATAGTGACTCTACATCCAACGAGGCTCTATATATATATATATATATATATATATATATATATATATATATATATATATATATATATATATATATATATATATATATATATATAATGTCGTACCTAGTAGCCAGAACGCACTTCTCAGCCTACTATGCAAGGCCCGATTTGCCTAATAAGCCAAGTTTTCCTGAATTAATATATTTTCTCTATTTTTTTTCTTATGAAATGATAAAGCTACCCATTTCATTATGTATGAGGTCAATTTTTTTTATTGGAGTTAAAATTAACGTAGATATATGACCGAACCTAACCAACCCTACCTAACCTAACCTAACCTATCTTTATAGGTTAGGTTAGGTTAGGTGCCCGAAAAAGTTAGGTTAGGTAAGGTTAGGTAGGTTAGGTAGTCGAAAAGCAATTAATTCATGAAAACTTGGCCTATTAGGCAAATTGGGCCTTGCATAGTAGGCTGAGAAGTGCGTTCTGGCTACTAGGTACGACATATATATATATACATATACTATACTATGCAAGGCCTGATTTGCCTAATAAGCCAAGTTTTCATGAATTAATGTTTTTTCGACTACCTAACCTACCTAACCTAACCTAACTTTTTCTGCTACCTAACCTAACCTAACCTATAAAGATAAGTTAGGTTAGGTTAGGTAGGGTTGGTTAGGTTCGGTCATATATCTACGTTAATTTTAACTCCAATAAAAAAAAATTGATCTCATACATAATGAAATGGGTAGCTTTATCATTTCATAAGAAAAAATTTGAGAAAATATAATAATTCAGGAAAACTTGGCTTATTAGGCAAATCGGGCCTTGCATAGTAGGCTGAGAAGTTCGTTCTAGCTACTAGGTACGACATTATATATATATATATATATATATATATATATATATATATATATATATATATATGTCGTACCTAGTAGCCAGAACTCACTTCTCAGCCTACTATTCAAGGCCCGATTTGCCTAATAAGCCAAGTTTTCCTGAAGTAATATATTTACTATAATTTTTTTCTTATGAAATGATAAAGCTACCCTTTTCACTATGTATGAGGTCAATTTTTTTTATTGGAGTTAAAATTAACGTAGATATATGACTGAACCTAACCAACCCTACCTAACCTAACCTAACCTATATATATAGGTAAGGTTAGGTTAGGTAGCCAAAAAAAGCTAGGTTAGGTTAGGTTAGGTAGGTTAGGTAGACGAAAAAACATTAATTCATGAAAACTTGGCTTATTAGGCAAATCGGGCCTTGCATAGTAGGCTGAGAAGTGAGTTCTGGCTACTAGGTACGACATATATATATATATATATATATATATATACGTAGTAGCCAGAACGAACTTCTCAGCCTACTATGCAAGGTCCGATTTGCCTAATAAGCCAAGTTTTCATGAATTAATTGTTTTTCGACTACCTTACCTACCTAACCTAACCTAACCTAACTTTTTCGGCTACCTAACCTAACCTAGGTTAAGTAAAGGTTAGGTTAGGTAGGGTTGGTTAGGTTCGGTCATATATCTACGTTAATTTTAACGCCAATAAAAAAAAATTGACCTCATAATGAAATGGGTAGCTTTATCATTTCACAAGAAAAAATTAGAGAAAATATGCTAATTCAAGAAAAATTGGCTTATTAGGCAAATCGGGCCTTGCATAGTAGGCCGAGTACAACGTTCTGGCTACTAGATACGACATATATATATATATATATATATATATATATATATATATATATATATATATATATATATATATATATATATATGTCGTA